GTCGAATCTAAATATCTTCGCCGCGCTTACGTAAACAGACTGACAGACGTACCGAGAGAGGAGCGAACAGACAGGCGAGCGAACGGGGCACGAGAGTGAGGATGGCACTAGTTCGGGTTTGACGACAAATATTTACCGGAGAGACCACGGGCGGTTGGCAATTCGTAAAGTCCCGATAGCTCGCGCGCACTCACGGAGTCAAATCTCTCATTATTTACACTGGTAATATGAGCGTGTCCTATGCTGGCGAAATTATTAATGCGTGGCGTATGTACCGGGAAAGTCTCGACTGGCGAAGGTTAGTGCCCGAAGCAGCGTCCGAAACTTTGACTTTGACTGACCAACGCGTCCGCGGGATCTTCGTAAGGACCTTTAACCGTAGTACGTATCAAGGAGATATATTGCACAACTGTGGCTTCTGAGGATTCGTGTCCTGGACTATTGGCAAGATACCTTTGACGGTTGCGGTCGAAATGTTCCCTAACCAAAGTGTCCAGCGGGGCAAGAATATATACAGGGTGAGACGGAGATCACGATAGAACCGGGGAGAGAAGTAAATCGAAATTGCAAAATAAATGTTTTCCTCACGAGACTTCATTCTTAAGAAAATCGACTTTAAAAATCCATCGGGTGCGCGGTGTACTTGATTAATACTCGACTTAAAGGATCTTGCTAGGGGGCACTGTTCTCATCCATATTTCTATACAATGTTACGACTCGAGGTGTCTTAAAATAATTCAATCGATACTTCAATCTCGAGACCGATGTATTTTATTAATTTACGTCTTCTTGAAAATGTCCACCTCGATTTTGCATACAAAATTGTGCTCGTCGAGAGACATGCACACATGCACCTGAAAGTACTGACACTTGAGTAATACGAATATAAAAGAAAATAATGCCTCTACCGAGATTCCTTAAATCGACTATTAGTAAAGTGCACATCTACCCAAATGGATTTTTAAAATAAATTTTCTTATAAATCAAGTCTCGTAGAGAAAACATTTATTCTGCAATTTGGAATTACCTTTTCACCAAGAATCGCCACGTTCTCGGTTGTACCGTGAATTTCGTCCCACCCTATATAGGCATCTACCCACGCGATCAATGGTACGAGAAAGGAAACGAAAGACATCGAAGCCTGAACACGGTAGGTTCGAGGATCGAGGTAAATGAAAAGCCACGCGTAATACGTGCAAAAGCCTAATATACACAGCAGCGAAATTTCCTTCAAACATACCAACATCCAAGAGTATCGTCTACTCCGTAGCCGCGAAGTGCCTTAAGACGCGCACAAATCCCGAAGCTTCTTAAGGGCACGTTCAACTTTTCACCGAGTGGCACCGACAGTCCTGGTAACAGTTGAGGAGCGTCTCCGGCATCCGGTATAACGCGTTATAACGTATCAAGAAACACTCGACTCCTCGTATAAGCTATCGCGTTGATAATTCAGTGTCTCTCGAAAGGGACGGAGGTGGAAGGCTTGCGAGGCGACGATAATGTCTCGAATACTTGGGTACCGTGTATGGAGTATGTGGGAACAGCGGGGAATGTGTTTTGGCAAGTGGTGGCATCTGTGCTTAAGCGAGAAGTGCCATCCCTCCTTGGAAGACTTTGGGTAGCTAAGAGATATATAGAGAACGAGTAGTAAGTGAACCAGGGAGCAGGAGATAGAGTCAGAGTAACCGAGAGAGACGGAGAGCGGGCTGCGAGCGAGAATTCGAGAGAGAGAGAGAGGAGCTGCAAGACTGAGACGAGGATAGCACATAAATAGAGAAGAAGAAGATACGTATATATATATATACACAGGACAGCCTGAGAGAACTCGACGAGAGTAACGGCTAAGTCGGGTGGAGCCTTCTAACTTAATGATGTTTGTTCAATGGACTCCGCAGCACGGGCTCCTTTAAAATTGCTAAATTGTCTCGCGTCTGGCTCGATCCCCGTCACGTCGGTATAACGCGAATCTTCAGGAGGTGTGTAAGTGCCCGAGTCAACGACCCGAGAAACCGATGATCCCCGACGCGTAAAAGTAGCCACTGTCATTAATCGTACCCACTTCGCCCAACAGAGTGCAGCCTCGTTCGCTCGCGACGATACCCCCAAAAAGACGTGTCCCAGGCGCCGCCGAGTATCGCGCCAAACAGCGTCACCGTTTCGTTGCACCAGAGTACCAATGAGATCGATATCGACTACCTGCCGGCAGCTCGATCCCATGCAAGATCATCCCCGGCAGTCAAGAGCGGACCGAGAGACTCGTTCCGCCATCGGCGAACCACGAGATTCGTCTGCTCGCAATAAATCTATTGCGATAGACTCTGTGCAATCTGCTACATGAATATACAAGCCTTTTGCCAGCCTGAGTAAGAGTGTTGGGACTGCTGCCGGTTGGCTGCACTGGCGTCGGCTATTGCGACTACTGCAATCTATAGGTATACGCGTAGCGGGACCGTTTACAATACGGTAGTCGCATTAGGTATCTCGACTTACTTGCGGCACAGCGTCTGTATCAATTACGCGTGTCTTCTTTGCTGAGGATTCGAGCGATGCCGAGGAGCCTACAGGGGATGATGGTATTCATGGAATCTTGTAACGAGGCTGACAGACTCGGTATAAGCCCCGTGCAATGACAACCGCCAGACGCTTCAGACTCCAAGGAAAGAATATGTGATACGCTCGAAGATAAAGACGCGAGGAGTAAAAGTATAGAAACTTCAAGTCTGTCGTTGAACCGCATTGATAAAATACGTGCTCGGGAGCTTTCTTGAGAAATATTTTTAAAAAAATTAATTACTCACGCGATTGCAAGGAATCGTTTTTTTTAACATATAACGGAGTAAGCTTTGTGCACGTGACATAGATACGTGAGTATCTAGGTTGCTCGTGTAAACTTGTTTATCGAATTTTCCCGAGTTCCAAGAAACTCAGTGCGCTTCGATCGCCTCTAGACAATGAATGTCAATCAAACTCGTATCTGTTGTACACGTATTTTTTTAAGTTTAACTCTTAATTACGTGACTCATTAATTGATGACAATTCTACAGAGTTCCGTCTCACGATCATTTCTCTGTCACCAAACGAATCTGTGGGTGTTCAACTTTTGAAAAATATAAAAAAAATTTTTTTTTCATAATTCACGTGCTCCAAAATAAAAAGGTCGAGGTACGAGTCCGAAATTCGTCTATACTACCATACATAAAACTAAAATTACTGCTACGAACTTGGCAGTATATCTGACAGCCAGAAACTGTAATTATTCCCACGGTGAGAAAGGTCAATCGCATTTGATTGCTACGTAAGAAGGAACGTACGAAAAGTTAAATTGATAGAGTAGGACCGAGTGCGAGAGAGTGGAGTATAGTGCATGCGTTATGGCAGCAAGAGAGAAGGATGCGTTGCAGGCTACGAATGTATTTTACATATTTAAATTGGAAGTGTCAATACGTTCCTTCAAGGTATTGACAAGCCAGGCATCACCGAGAGTAGCCCGAGACAGCCGGAACTGAGAATTTGCCATGGGATCGTGTGCAAGGTGCATGTTAAACTTTACGAAAAAAATTTCATTTGCAAAAATGGCATTGACTGTACCGATAAATTCAGCGGACAAAATCAAATCCTTCGATTTGACAACTTAGGTGTTATAGGGCACCGTGATGCCTTAGTAGAACAATTCACTGCGTTTGAACTCCACTGTCGACGTAACATACGAAAACGAATATTTCCAAAAAAAAATTTGCTCAAGCCGCGATTAAATATTCGCAGGTTAATATTAATATCAAGGACTCTGGTCGTAATGCATGATAACGCATTGCCCTGGCACGTTCATCTTTCGCCAATGCTCTGATCAGTGCTAACGATAACTACCGCCATTATTGAGTGCATGCTCGTGTGGAAAGCCCGGTATGCCAAATAATTATTAACAATTATTAGCTCGCTATTCAATTTGCATTATGAGGATGGAGAGAGCAAAGTGATAAATTCACATATTTATACGGTCAACTGATTGTAATACTGGCTTTGATCTCCATCAGTTGCTCTCCCATTCTCACTGTCTCTCGCTCTCGTTCACCGCGCATCCGATCGTTGTCTCTCTCATTCCCTATATGTACACACTCAAAGCGTGTGTAAACGATCAGAAAAAGTACGCCTACGGTAGAAATATCCACGCGCATCCCAGCACGATTGGAGCATCATTAATTATTGTACGTTACATTACCAAGTCGTTTCTACATGCTCCAAAGCCAGTCTCGAGAACTCATATGTGCTTGGCAATGGACAAGCTCAAATACTTTGGTAAGAATGACGTGACTTCTTTTTCTTTTTTTTTTTTCAAGTCCTGGTACTATATGATTTTTGTGACTTTCGATCGAAAAGATTTTTTTGTGAGTAATTATACTAATATTTATTCATTAAATGAAAATTCGTTCTGTGCACTGTGTAGTATTTGGGGTTTGGTATGATTTTCATATAGAAATAATATAATTTATAAAGAGTACCAAAAGTTGCAGGCAGTTTTCATTGTTTTTTTCTTTTTAAATATAAATATTTCTACATTTTTCAAAATTGTAAGACTATAACTGTTAATCTGAGAATTTACAAACTTATGTTTTATCTAAACATAGAAATTATCGATTCGCATGCAGTTACGTGTATGAGAGTTGCCAACGACAGTTATATAGGAATCATATATACACGTTAGTCGGTTATAGACTTCTATTTTTAGAACTGATTTATGGATTTTCATAAATAATTCGGTGCATCCCTACCTGGCTTACGAAGCCATGAGTCGTCTGTAATTCACTTTGATTATGGTTTATACATAATTTTTTAATACTTTTTATGTATATTTTTTACATTCATCATATCTTGGTGAGATTGTTAAAGGAAATTTGTATGATTGTTCTGTATATAAGCTTAACGCGTATATCATAATTCTTTATTTCACGTTCGTACACAATTTCTCGAAAGAATGATATATTTAATGAATGTCAAAATCTTACCTTTTACTGCTATCGCCATAACAGCCAGCAGGAACAAGCACGTCATCCTCGTCCAATGCATTTTTAGTATTATCCAAAGCACTTCCAAATTTTTAAACTTCAGGAATATCACCAAAACACAAACATTATATGAGCACTGTACGTTGGATCACTTTGTATAATGAAACATACCCGACCAATTCGTATTTAAATACGGATTTTAGTTCTGATATTTAATTCGGTCGAAGGTCGCATTAAAATGAAAATATTGATTTTTCACATTACAATTTTTCTCGATCGATCTCTATTTTTGATTCTTGTACGTCGGAATGAAATTGCAACGCCGGAAACGTTACGAGGCAAGAGCATTTACTTTTTAAGTAATTCAATATAGCACACGATTCACAGGGTTTTCATCCAATAGCTTCAGCACAATACCAATACATTGCAGAGTATTATGAAAAACTGTTACAATGCAATAGGCATATTAGTATGAAAATTGACGATTCCTCAATTCATAATTTTCAATACGTTTATAAAGAAATAATCACTTGTTAATGTTAGGTATCACTTCGGCACGTTGAAACACCCAGAGCCAAACTTCACGCGGCAGAAATTCTCTAGGCAAACGAAAGTTAAACGGGAACAGTCATTTCGATAGCTGTTTAATGTCAATGTCATTCAGAGCACTTAAATCCCAATGGCAAATCAATAACCGATGCTCACTTGGCATTAAAGTATCTTATTAAGGTGTCGAACACGCGTATAATCCGCATGCCGATCATACTGATTAAATCGCGTAGAAATAGACGCGATACTGTGACGAGTCGATGCAAAGAATATTCACCGGACAAAAAATCACTATCATCCCCAGGAGAAACGATTTATTCTTTTAATTAATTAACCAAGATCGTTTATTCTTTTCCATGGCGACTTACGCCGCGTCCTCCCCGCGCAGTTGCAATTGCAATCGATACAATTATCAACAATAACGAGCGACCCTTTGAGATATAAGAACCGGGACGAACGCCGCCACAGAACAATCCTAACAACGCGGCGGTTGACTCGCGACTGGAGATGCCGAGATTCTTACAGGGCGCCACGCGCCGCTTCGGCTCTGGTCGGCGCAGCTCGGCAATACTCGGCAACCTATACGTTTCCACAGTCCTGCGTCTCTTTTCCTCCCTATCTACATACGTGCATACGTACGTGCGATGCATAGCTTGGCTAAGGGTGAGGCAGGATTACATGGCGAGGGTGGGTTACACTCTACAATAGAGGGTCCCGCCAGCATCAACAATGGATCGCTGTTTCATATTTTATTTATGTCTTTCCACGTCTTCTCTCGGCGAAGTACTGACTACATGAAGAACGGTGCAAACTTCTTTGCTTAAATGGCCGACGCGAGACTCGAGCTCACACCTGACCTGAGTCTTGTTTGATTAACAGGTCGATTTGCGGCTTTGACTTTTTCGCGTTGTATGATGTATGCAACATGTAATACTATGGGTACGTATACGTACTTACGAACGTAAAGCCGTGTGTACATTGTTGGCTGTTTAGTGGAATCCTTATTACAGCACGAAAACGTCGTACATACTCATATATATTATCAACGATAAATCAATGCTGGATTACATGTAATTTATGGTTTTCACGTGGGAGTCCAAAGAAGAAATTGGTGACCGCAGGCGATTCATACTTACCTCTGAAAACAGAATCGATCCGTGAAAGCGCTCCTTTAATAAGAGAATTCGATCCGTATTTTATAACGTCAAGTATTACTTTAATTATGTTAATCTTCTGTTAATCAATTATTCGGTCGTATATCATAGTTTAATTTGACGAAATTTCGAGCGGCGCATCTGCCTAATAGCTGACCCTTACTATTAGGCGCTTTTGGAAAAATGTTGTCCAAAGCGCGTATATCGTCGTGGTCTTGTATTTCCTGAAAATAATTAACATTATTAATTAATAATAGATTATACTATAAGATCGTGTGTATAATTCCAAATGTAACTTATAGTACGACTTAAAACGTTACTTTATATGCACCGTGATGCTAAGTGTTGTACTTAACTCGAGACAATAATTTTCCAATCATGATTTAATATTGAACGATTATTAATAGTATGGCTAAAGGGGTGAATAAATTTGTTGCAGGACCTCCCACATCAAACACCACAGGTTACGAACATTCTTGATCTAATTCATACTAAGTTTTTATCTTTCCTTTTTTTCTCTACGCTCTCACCAAAACAACGAACTGGAACATTACTTAGAAAAGATCACCTTTTTTTTTTTCTTTCCCATCGAATCCAGCAGCGTCTCTGAATTATTGATACCGGGCATCGTTAATTGATTAATTGAAATCCTGCTCGATGGTATTTATAAAATTTTCCAAAATATTATGTCTGGCATATAATGAATTGTCCTTCTCAACCGTTCAAACGTACTGGCAGCGCACGTCGAAATCCCAAAGCATTTAAAGCGTTAGGGACAAATCGTGTTCCGTCTCGAACGCTGCGCGCTAGTCAAAGTATCCCATTTTCTTGCTTCCCATTTTCGAAAAGTTCCCCATTATGCGTGAGCGTGGTCCATGCCTACTCTCGAGAGAAAGTCAAGAGCCCGTGACGAAATCGGAATCCAAGTAGCGGCAAGAAAAGGCGGGTAAAAAGAAAGAAAGAAATGAGGAAAGAGAGAGAAGAGAAAAACGTGAATGAGAGGGACCGATTGACGTGGAGAGTTAGGAAGAAGAGGGAAAGAGAGGAGTTTGCCATGCTAGAGAAAAACATATAATAAATAAAGCCTAGTGAAAAATATGGTGGTTGCAGGAGTCCACCGCACCCTAAGTGCCTTGGCGCCCTTTGCCCCCTCGCACAACAAATGCCTATGCACGTAAGAATAGCCTGGCTATGGCGACTCAGCGGAAATGGACACTGTAGTAATTTATTTGATTGTCCCAGAGAAAAGAGAGAAAGGAAAGAAAAAATGAGAAACAAAAAAAGGAATAGGACATTTTTGCAACCTTCACCAAACTATGGAACTGTTGTCGCTCGTTGAGTCTCTCAAAGACGTTAAAGGGATTTCGTGACCATTCAATGAAATCCTCAGGATAAGGCTAAAGTCTGTACACACCAAATTTCACAGACACCGTATACATGGATTATTGACCGATTTAATTTCGATGGAAAATTTTGAGAATTTTTTTAATCACGTTTATATGATTAATTTCATTTATTGTGGATTGACCTTTATCAAGTAACTAGATGGCTACGTTACTTCGGGAAATTCCCGAAGGCGCTGATGTCGAGGGTCTGGATGACACCCTCGCATTGCTGGACCTTGTATGGTTTAGTGTTACGATAATTCCGGAAAACCCCTTGGGGGGAGGAACGTACGGAACTAACTAAGCTAAAGGGTGGCCGTATGGAAGGGTCAAGCATGCTGGCTTCGAGCCAGACATAGTTACGTGCATCTCTTGAGTCTCGTACTATCTCTGTCTTGTCTTGGCGTGGTTATTCGAGCTCATCTTCCACTACCCCTAGCAAACCCCCTTCCTCCTTTCTCTATTTCTCCCACTAACTAAGTGTTAAATGAACCTTGTTCGCTCTAGAATAGGGGCTTGGGACCCATTCCATGTCTTGGAACATATCCGAGGTCTTAGAAGTGGCATGGGACATTGACTATTGATTTCCGTTAAATTTTCCTTACCCCAGGACCTCAATTTTCATCCGTAAAAAAATAAAATGGAATCTAACCCTTCTAAATTTCACCACCTTACAATCGTTCGCAACGGTATTGGATTTCGAATCTGCAATAGAAACGCCGTAATCAATTTAGACGATAAATTACAAAGTACAGATTTTCTGCCGTATTCGCTACGAATATCAGGAAAATCTAGTGAACGGTCATAGTCAACCTTTATATTTTGCAGCATGGTATATTTTTCCCATATCTTTGGGCTTTACACCATAGACAGTATTTTTCCGAGAAATAGCACGCCCATCGTCCTTAGAATCCTTCACGGCCAGGTGTAGAATCGTCTAGCTCTATTCCCTATGCTCCGTACCCTGCCGCTTCTCTGCGGGGTACCCCATAGAAACGACTTATGGTCACAAACGTTGGACACCATAGTCACAGCCGCCTCTACTCTTGCTTTTACTCGAAACTACCTACGAGATACCGTAAGAACCCTATGAATGCAGAAAGGATGACCCTGCTGCTTTTTCGTCCTCCTCCCAAGCATTTCCACCCACACGTGAACACTCGGCAAAGTGGGCACTTCCTGTAAACAGTATCCTATTCGAAGAAAAGAGCTTGAGACCTTATTAGCTGAAATCAGATATAGCCAAAACCGGCTACTTTTCCCTGAATGTCATGTAACCCGCAGATCATGCAGATAAATACATCAAAAACATTCTTGAGTACCCCAACCGATTCACATGGACAGTTAAAAATTTACATATATCGATCCTGGAATCGATATCTAATTACTGCAACGAATTAACTGCTGACACCACTTGTCACAACAATAATGCCAATCGCAGTCAGTGGACGCTGCTTTTCCTAGTAAAATCACGAAACAGCGCTGCACGTTATTTCTCGTACATATTTCGCACATCCGTCCTTCCCCATGGTGTGCAGAGATGGCTGTGCATTAACTATATGCTATTAGCCGAATGCGAGCACATTGAACGGAGCCGACAAAATCATCCACTAATTAATGTGGTAGAGAGGATCCAGTGTGCGGGGTCGTGTGCACCCTCGTATGAGAATGTATGGTTGCGTACTGCGAGAGTGAATCCATGCTTTACACACATCGTACCGTAGTCAGACATCATACCAATGACCATTGTTCAATATGGTATGCATATATGCACATGCGACGAAACAAGCCCGCTTATTAAAGGCTACCGTATATCGTGGGATGCTATGGAATTTTTTAAACAGTATCGCCTCGGGGTAAGAAGGAAAAGAAAATAACCCGAAAATAACGGCAGCATTGACAACAAAGCCAAGTACGTGAAAAGTGGTGATGGGAAAACAAAAACAAGAATAAAGTTAAAATATTTTCCAGCACGACAAGTGACTCGTTGAGCTTCGTATATATGTATCAACGAAATACGTATAACCCTGCCTGCCGATGAAAATGGCAATGTGTTAAAATCCTATAGGGATTTTGCGAAACCGTCGGCAGTGACCTGAAACGACTGTTGCGAATTTTCGTGAATTGGATGAAAGTTTCAGTTGGGATTTTAGTTGGAAAAAAAATTGGTGAAACTGGGTCACTATTCTCTGTCGGACTGCACCGAGATTATATTTCTAATTAAAGGAACGTAATGCGCTCGTCTTCTTGGTTAAGCAAAAAGTTTCTAATTAAATGTTGGTTTTCGATATATATATAGATATAGGAGAGGTGCGATAAAGCCGAATGGAAGAAATGGCGAGTGCACGGCTATCGCTTCCAGAATTCCCCACCGGCACTTTTATTGTGCTTCTCCACTTACTTCCACTGATAACATCTTCACCTACAGCGATGCTTGTTTGTTATCCTATTCTCTCTATGCTTTTACTCTGTTTCATTCAAACTTGGTTATATATTATTTTTATCTAAACGCTACAGCATCCCGTGGATATAGCCGAGAAACGGAGGTAACTTTCTTAAAGATATCTCGCGCACGGCAAAGATACTTTTATTTTATATTTCGTGGCTTTTCTTACCCTTGCCAAGAAATGAAAGGAGCGCCAACTACAAATCACAAACTTTACGGTTCGTTAGGAGATATTGCTTTTCTTAAAAATTCAAAGGGATTCTTTTTTTTGTGAAAAAAGTTTCAAAGTTACGTTAACAATGTAGATACAGTTTATAGTCAGGATACTTCAAACTGCAAATATAGAAACTGAATTTTCCATTTAAATTATTGCGTATATGAATATGTCCGAGAGGTAAAGTCACTGTTAAATGTATTGACCTCTGACCGATATCAATAATTAACTACATAGAAACCGTTTACGATCTCGCAAATGTATGCTCGTAATAATCAATGGCTATTTGGGTAATTCCTAAATTCGATTTAATGCATGTAATTAATAATGTCGCTATACCTACGCTAGATTGCGATACAAGATTTTATAATCGTGATTTACAGGTTTAATCTTTATCCCAGATATACGAGAAACAGCGTTAAACATTATTGGAAATTTTGGGAAACGTTACGAGCGTTCGTTAACGATGGAATCCAACGTCGTTATCCGTGTTCGTTGAATTTGATTAAAAATTTGCAAAACGAAAAAAAATCTTACGCGCTCTAAAAAGTTGTTAAAAAAATTCTCTGGTATCGAAATATCTCGTTAATGGATACACGTGTTTCATCCCGGAGTAATTGTGAGTCAAATTTTTTGAATAATTTTCAGGAATATTCATTTGGAAAAATCCATTTTTAGACGAGTACAATGGCTTTATATTATTTAATAATATATTTTTAGTTTAGTATTACGATCTCTTTACACTCGAGCAATCACGTATTGTTTTCATTTAGGTCGGCAGAAATATATAGGAAACCAGAATGAATCCGTTCCCTCATATGTATATGCGCATATGTGTAACTCGCATATTTGCAATGCTGATACGGTATGATGAAGCATTCCTATCATCTATCCCAGCAGAACTACAGTTTGCTGCCCATTATCCTGGAAAATTATTATTTTCGCCTGCCATAGATATACCTATACATATATAGCCAAATTATGAAAATGGCAAATATTGATTGAAAATTTCAACTGAACCCACCACGATGTTTCGCATGAAAATTTTGCATAACAGGTAATAACGTCACAGACTTATGACAACGGACTTATAGCCTATATAGGAAATCAAGACCTGTAGGAATGGTCTGTGCAATGCAATTGTATACTATTCGAACTGAATGCAATACTGTTTCGATTATTATATTGAATAAAAAAAAAATATTAATTGACAAACATTTTTTTGGTCAATTTTTTTTTGTGTATATTGAGAACTATAACTCATTCCTGTATACACAGAATATATATATTGGGTTGAATAACATACTTCTTATTTCACACAACTATTAGCATCTCAATAGAGATTAGAATGGACGAAATAAAAATTAATCACAGCAGAGAAGATTCTAAAGTAAGAAGCCAGTACAGATATCCCCCAGTTACCTAAGCGGATAACACTCTGCTAATTAGTAAGATAATTGATGATTATCGGTCATTCCATAAAGCAAGATGGCGCGTTATAAATCAATTAATAATACAACTCGTTTATTTGCACCGCTGCGAGCCTGGCCAATCTGCACGACGAGCGTGCCATATATTAATCAAGCGGTAAACTGAAACGTTGGATTATTCTTTTTTTTTAATTCCACCGCATCATTGGAAGCATCGCAGGGGGTCCTTCGTGCCTCTGATAGTTCACGGTCAGAAATAGAGAGGCAGGTATATGAAACAGCCGCACCGATGCAGACGCCTCTGTCCAAAGCAACAAAAAAGATATTGGGCGAGATGGAGTAAATTTTCTTTTTTAGTTGCAACAATTTACCAACACTACACTTTTTCCCTATGAAATGTCCATAGAGAGACTGCACTATATAATGTTTATCTAGTACATTCACCCATAGCTCCGACTATCTCACTCGTTTAATCTCATGCAGATATGCAGATTCGTATGGCATATACATATCTGCGTATACACTTAGGTAAATACAGTCCCATAAACGCAATGGCTATCTCAGCCAACTAGTCCCGCATATTTTATTCGCAAACGGATTTTCAAGTGAATTCACCCTGGACTCTTTTCTTTTATTCTAGGAAGCGTTAAATGCCCACAGAAAAATGTACGGGTAGCTATACTGTCTTATGTATCCGTATGCCTCTGTATATGGTCGTTTAAGTAATAATGCATTCTCTTTTATCTTGGCTGCATACTTAACGTCGTTAATTATGCATCCGCTTCACTAATCGGTAATCACCAGCACTGTCATCGTTAAGTAGCCGCCTATCAGGCTAACCTTACTTAGAAATGGCAGCTTCAAGGAATGTCACTGCCTTTGCATTTAATCCGCTTACCACGCCAATGTTTTCCGACGTCAGTTTTATGTACTATTAAAGCAAGAGAGGAAGACAGGGAGAAGAGGTAGCCAGGACATTTTGTCCAAGGATTGAAAGGCTGAAGGACCCAAGATGAGGGTACGATGCAAAACGTCGTTACACGGATAATTGAATTTACGATGCAAATTCCTTAATTGCCGGTAGTGCGGGCTCGTTCGGGCTTTCTAAGTAATTGATTTCAATATACAGCTACCACCGTGCGGTGAGA